CAATTGTTATTAAGTAACGGTATACCACGAATCCACGAGATAATTATTAATAAACTGAGGATTTAACCCGTATTAAAGCGGTATATAAATATTGATTCAAATTCGTCCGCCATATAAATCATTTCTGAAATATAACCCGTTCCGTAATTTCTTAACCCGTCCTGTGATTTATATTATAAAAAAATAAGGATTAAATCCGTATTGAAGCGGCGGATTAATGATATTTTAATCTTTTTATTATTGTTGACTCAAAAACCCGTCCCGCCAAACCCATCCCGCCAAAAAACTCATTTATTTTATTAATGTTCTTATTTATGATATGATTCTGAATCATTGTCTAAATATTTTAATCGATGTAGAACGTTGAACACACATTTTCGTCAATTGGATAATATATGTCCGTTTTTAAAATTTCGAATCACAGTATATGCAGAAAAAAAATTGATTTTTTTTTTTTACTTTATGTATTATATGATGATTCAAAACAGTTAAAAAAAAAACAAACAAAGATGATAGGAGAATCATAATTATAAATCTTAATCAAATCTTCTAAAAATCTAAATTATTAAATATGGAATATCCGGTGTATGAGTAGGGTTAAATATAACCCGACCCAACAAATTTTTGTGAAGGAATTTTTAAATGGGTCGGATATCCGATATACCCGAAAGCTTTTTTACCCACCCGTCACAAAAAGTGCTGCGATTATACTAGTATAGATGATAAATTTGGAGGAAACCGTAGTAGTAAAATAGTTTTTCTCAATTTATTCATTAGCCAATAGGCTTATTTATACAAAGATATTACTTGCATAGCAAGTTCTTTACATTTATGATAATAGTAAATCTACCTATTTAACAATAAGAAGATATACACAAATGTTAACTTTCCTAATAATAATAAAGAAACATATTCAACTCGATCTCATAATCCCGAGATCTCTCATCCACCGTCGATCTTCCGATCTACGCTTCTCTTTCTCCCAATAAGAACAGAGACGGTACTATCTGTTATATGTATAACTAAGACTCCACAGTATCAGTGTATCACACATTTCCTTATGCAATCTTTTGAAAAAGAATATGTCAATATAGTTTTTGTTTTAATTAAATCTATTTAACTTTAAATATTTCGCCTGAATTTTGTTTAATTTAAATATATTTTATAAGGTTAAACAAGCCATAACCTATCAGAAATTTAATCAAAACAACTACAGGAATACAAAAGTATTTTATCGAGTAAAGAAGAGTAGTTTTTTTTAAGTATCACAATAAACGAAATATATGTCTACTTTCATTATTTGATTATTAAACTTTGATGAAGTCATCATCAACTACATTGATCAAGAAATTGAAAAACACACACTAAAGAAAAAAGAAAAAAAAAAAAGAAAAGAAAGAAAGCTTCTTTCATTATTAGATTATCGAACGTAGACGAAGTCACCATCATCTACATTGATAGCGAAACTGAATAACACACACTAAAAGAAAAGAAAATTAAAGAAAGAAAGCTGATTAGTTTATTGATAATCCCCTCATTCAAAAGCCTTTTGATAGTCCTTAAGAACAGCTTTTTCTTCCTCAGGTGTAAAATCATTCTCAATGTTGAAGAATTCGCGAGTCTGGTCCAGAGTTTTGGCTTTGCTCATATCCGAGGCAGTTTGGCATGCTAGATCAAGAAGGCTTTGTATGTCTAGGTAACTAGCAGCATTAATGAGATCAAAGAGCGTTAATTGATCTTTTTCCATGAACTTTTCGTCCCATTTCTTGAGATCCTCGTCGGTGGAAGGGTTAGCATCATCGACGTGGTGCTTCTTGCAGTACTCGAGCACCATCGCAAGAATCTTGCCTGTCACGTTTGGAAGCGGGATTTCTCTATCGGCGCAATCGTCCTCAATCATATGATTTATGATCTGGCATTGGCGTGCGGCATCTTCTTTGATCTCAAACGTTTGACCATCAGAGCTCGTCAACGAGATCATCTTCGTCGACATTGTGGGGGGGGGGGGGGGGGGGGGAGATATTTTTCTCTGGAAGAAATTTGATGAAAGATCAAGAATTGAGAGAATGATCGAGTAATAATGAACCTATGCGTTTGTTTATTTATAAGCCCTAACTTTCATATATGCATGTATGATGTATCGTGTCAAGTAAGTCACAAAAGCATTAAGTTATCTACTCATGTTGATGTTGTTTTCCACTAAAGTCCTTTTTATGTGTCTTTTTGATTAAAAACACAACTTTTTTTTTTATTCGTGTTTTATAGTGTTTACTCCTGAGTTTGTATGTAATTCTTTTTTTATCTACTGGACTAACCACCGACTCGTGTTTATTGTATGTACTCCTAGATTGGCTTGTAATTCCTTTTATATTCATTGGACTAACCACCAACTCAAATTTCAATGAAAAAATGAACCTTTTTTTGATGCTTCATGGGTAAGTGATGGTAATACCTCTGGTCTTGGTTTCGTGCTCGACGCTCCTTCAGGACGGCTTCTTGGATCAAGAGGTAAAACACGATTGCTCTCCCCGCTTCATGCTGAATTAGAGACCCTTCTGTGGGCTATGGATTATGCACTACATCATGGATTTGAATCAGTTCACTTTGAAACGGATTGCACGGATGTGGTTAAAGTCATAGAGGAAGAAGACCCGTGGCCAGGCTTGGAAACTGAAATTGAGTCCTTTAATCTCATGCGTAATCGCTTTAGATGTTTTTCGATTTCTCATATTTCTAGAAACTCCAATATCCGAGCCGATGCCCGTGCAAAAGGTGCTCGATCTCGTGATGCTATCTTTTCCCATGTAAGTTCTCAGGTTCCGGAGTGGTTGGCTATCGATGCCAACCTTTTCGAACCAGCTTAATAATATATGGAGTCTTTTGCCGTCAAAAAAAAAAAAAATGCACTATGATGTTGTGTACATATACATATATACCCGTTTTCTATAAATGCATAAATGATCAAGTTTTACGCATTTGAAAACAATGCAATGTTTTATAACCTGTCACCTTTAATTAGTTGAAATTTCATATGTTTTTATACTTTCAATATATGGTCTTTGATTTTACCTTTTCTATATTTCTTTGTCTGTTCTTAATACCAAACATGTTCCAATTAAGTAACTTCCGCACACAGTTTTAATTGAAAAATACTCATCCACTGGTTTCGTATAAAGAATATCAGAATTTATTCAATTATATGAAATTTTAATTTATAATAAAATCAAAATCCAGTAATTATATGAAATTGAGTTCATTACTTCATTGTTGCATTATGAATAAATCTGAAAATTTAATATATTTATATCTTATACGCATCTATTTTAAAGTTCCTATAAATAGATATATATTTATTAAGCTTTGATCTCATTATTTGCAATTTTTGTTTATTGTTAAAAAAAATATTGTATACATCTCAATTTTTTGAAAAAGAATATGTAAATATAGCCTTTTAATTAGATCTATATAACTTTATATATTTCGACTGAATTAAATACATTTTATAAGGTTAAACAAGCCATAACCTATCAGAATTTTAATCAAACCAACTATAGGAACACAAAAGTATTTCATCGAGTAAAAAAGAGTATTTTTTTGAAGTATCACACTAAACGAAATCTATGTCTACTTTCATTATTGGATTACTGAACTTCCATGAAATCATCATCTACTACATTGATGAAGAAATTGAAAAACACACACTAAAGAAAAAGAGAAAGAAAAAAAGAAAGAAAGAAAGATTCTTTCATTATTGGATTATCGAACGTAGACGAAGTCACCATCATCTACATTGATATAGAAAGTGAAAAACACACACTGAACAAGAAAGAAAATTATAGAAAGAAAGCTGCTTAGTTTTTGATAATCCACTTATTCAAAAGCCTTTTGATAGTTCTTAAGAACAGCTTTTTCTTCCTCAGGTGTAAAATCATTCTCAATGTTGAAGCGTTGGCGGATCTGTTTTGGAGTTTCCTCTTTGATCATATCCGCGACAGTTTGGCATGTTAGGTCAGTAAGGCTTTTGATGTTTAGGTGATTCGCAGCCATAATGAGATCAAAGATCGTGGATTGATCGATTTGCATGAACTCCGCGTCCCACTTCTTGAGATCCTCGTCGGTGGAAGGGTTAGCATCACCGACGTGGTGCTTGTTTAAGTACTCGACCACCATCGAAAGAATCTTGCCTGTCACGTTTGGAACCGGGATTTCTTTATCGGTGCAATCGTCGTCAATCAGATGAAATATGGTCTGGGATTGGCGTGCAGCCTCTTCTTTGATCTCAAACGATTCACCATCGGAGCTCTTCAACTTGATTATCTTCGCCGACATTGTATTTTTCCGTTGTGGGGGAGATTATTTTTTCTCTGGAAGAAATTTTAATGAAAGATTGAAGAATTTAGTAATAAGGTAATGAAGTTGTGAACCTATGCGTCTGTCTATTTATAAGCCCTAACTTTCATAGATGCATGTATCGTGTCAAGTAAGTCACGAAAGCATGAAGTTGTATGTCTACTCACGTTGATGTTGTTCTTCCACTAAAGTCTTTTTGTATGTGTCTTTTTGATTAAAACCACAACTTTTTCATGTGTTTACTTGTAAGTTTGTATGTAATTCCTTTTTTATCTATTGAACTAACCACCGACTCAAATTTTCAAATAAACTTTTTCTTTAAAAATGCACTATGTTGTTTTATTCACATAACGCGTCTTCAAACTTTCTATAAATGCATATATATCACGTCTCACGCAATTGATCGTAGTATTACACGGCAATGTCTAGATCACTTAGTTTTCTCTTAATACCACAAATGTTCCAATTAGGAAACTTCAGCACACAGTTTTATTTGATCATCCACTGTTTTTCTACATAAAGAAGATCAGGATTTTTATCAACTATATGAAGTTTTACTTTATAATATAAATAAATAAAATCAAAGAAAAATATAAGCAAGTACTTTCTTCAAGCATTTCTATAGAACTATTCCACACTTTGTCGATGAATTAATGACTAAATAAAGGACATTTGTTTATTTCTTTAAGACTTGTGCTAAGTTGCTAATACAAAAATTACAAACTTGGATACTTTCACATTGGCACTCGCAGTAATAATATATCTAACTCCAAAGTGTATATCAAACTTTAATTTAGACACAATAAAAGAAAAATGAAAAACAAGTTTCAAGTTTCAGCCTAAGAGACACTCGATCAATGATGCTTAAGTCAGGACAACGTAGTATCTTTCACCTCTCTTTTTTGTTGACATCAAACACATCCAAAGAACTGTTCTATTGACTGCGAGGTGAACACATTTGGAGCCGTTCGCTCGGGTTTCACCGTAGAGACGTGAAGCTGATATTTGATGAACCTCTGCAAATAAGAGAGAATGAGTTAAACTAAAAGCAAAGTAAGAATGTAAATGAGGAAATGAGGAAAGGACTTTACAGCTAGTTGTGTGCTGATTTCCGGGTTTGTATCGATATGCCAGTCAGGTTCTAGTTGTCTGACAAAGGAAGTTCTTCCTATCTCTGTACTACAAAAGAGGACCTGCAATTTCATACTTACAGAATTGTAATTCTTGCACTTTTGTCAAAACATAGAGAGAAATATTGATATGTCATGCTTTGATAAGACTATTACAAAGCTATTTGAGATAGTTAACGGGTAAAACATTGTCGAAGAAAGCTTGATTTGTATACCTTATCTTTGACCAAACCACCAGATGTGAAAACTCCTGCATTCTCTAAAGCCTGTAGAACTTTGGCCTGCATATTTGAGCTCAAAATGTGAGTTTCAGAAACTACTGAGAATAAACCCGCTTGGCTCTGTCAACCGGGATAGAGATTACAAGAATGCACAAACGTCTCAAGCATTTAGTTGCACCAATGAATTCAATCTCTTCCTCTAATAATGTAAAGATATGTTCTTAAGAATCCTTCTAAACAAACATTATTCATCGCCCAACTATTATCTATACGAAAATCCATGTTATGACCTACTGCCCGAATATTTAAGCTAACCATGTTTAAAATAACCACAATTAATTTACTGTTCATGCTAGAGACTAGTTCCAACACAAAGGCCAACAAAAGAACACGAATGAGTGAGAACATTGACTAGAACAAGAAGTTGTTACTCACTTCGCTTTCATCGTCAAGAACTCTTTCCATGAGATATAAATCACTATACTTTGTAATCTCTAGCAGAACTTCCAAAACAGATGACCTCACTGTTGCTTGTTTCTGCACAAAATCACTCATGTCAGTTAGAGACGCATCACACATTATACAAATGAAATGACAAAAGAAAATATGATTACTTGGAGTTCTTCTGGACTTGTTTCCTCAAGAATTACTCCAAGAAGACGGCATGTTACCTATAAATGCATATTAGACAACTCAGTAAGGTGCTAAAACTCGTATAAAAAACAATTTGTCGATGATCTAACATGGCCAAACACTATCGGTAGCTCTGAGAATTTCAATGCTGATATGCAAATTACCTTCCTTCCTTCACTAAGCTTCTGTCTAACTATTTGCCCCAAGGTAGGCTGCAATAAACAGGAATCTAAATTATATAACAGAACAAAGTGAATACTGTAACACAAAATCAAATAGAGAAAAAGAGTGTTACTTTAACAGGTTGAAAGAACTGATCAACAACATCTTGCACCGCATTATCCTCACGAGGCGAAGAAAATTCAGGAAGTACCGAAGCTACATTCGACTGAGCAGCAGCAGCAGCAGCACTAGACGTTTCAGCATTGTTAATCCTACGCTTCGGCTGCCTTCTTTGACGATGCTCCCCCGGCGTTCTTATCGCCCTCCACGTAAAAATCACCGCAATCGCAAGCCCCGCAATCGCACCAATCGATCTTGAATCCTAATCACAACAACGTCAACAACAAAAAACGAATCAACTACATAACAATAACTCAAAAGTTGGAATCTTTTTAATCCCAAATCACTCAAATTTGAGCTAAATCATAACCTTATGTAACTAATTTCATCAATTTGAAGAATCACTTCCCTAATTCACCAATTAATCAGTCAAAATTGGATTCAATTCCCATCATCGAAAACCAAAATCTGACCCAGATCCGATATAAAGAGGAGAGATTGAGAAAAAAAACCAGATTGCGAATCGATGAAGTAGAGAAAAGGCTTGACATTTTGAAAGCAACATAAGCGCTTAAACGCTTAATCAACCGAACGATCTCTTCAGTAGGCGACGGCGACGGCGATTCCGCCATTAATTTCACCTTTCCTTCAAAGCGAAATTCAAATACGTCGTCGTTTTAATCACGAAAGACTCGAACTTTCAGATTCTTAGCTTCAGCTTTCGGATATTGGCACTGTTCTCGAGCCCTCCCTGGAGAAAAGAGGAATTGTACTTTTTTTCCATGGAACACAACTAGGCAAAGTCAAAGTGTTTGGACACGTGTCTTGTTTTACACGTGGCGGTAGATGAGCATGTGAGACCATGGTTTGTATCGTAGGGTGCGATGGATCTGATTTATATGAAACGGTGAGTTTTGTTCTTGTTTAGAGGAAATTTTACTCGATGAAGTGGGAGGTAATTAGAGGAGTAAGAAAGTTAGGAAACTAGAATTGGTTTGAGGTTTGTTGTTGTTGGACACTTAAGCAATCATGGAGTATCATTTTACATGTGAAAAGAAGGAAACAGAGAGATGAACATGAAGAACAAAATATTATGTGAAAAATGTAGGAAAAAAGCTATTTACTTTAGTTGAAAATTGCAAACTATTTAAATTATCTGGTTTACATTGTAAAATCCTTGTCCTAGTCTAGTATACATCGTTTGAGATCTTGATTAGTTTTTCTAGCAAAAATTTGAGATAATTTCTGTAAAAAGAGTGAAAAGTTTAGATAGTCAGTTGATAAACTTTTTCTGTCAACCAAACGCGTTCAGTTAAAAGAAATATAAAAAAACTTGTATACATATCATTCATATAAAGATGATAAAGAGGATGAAGGAGAGAGACTTTCTTGCATTGGTTGAATATCTTTGAGGGAAGAAACGTCGCCGTTTAGTTGCATCTCTTTTTCGAGGTGAAAGCAATAGCTCTCAAAAACTCTAAAACTCACTGTAACTCTAAAGTCAAGAAGAAATAGAAGCTCTAACTCCATTTTGTTCAGGTCCGCATTGCTCACGCCTCCTACCCGAGCATAGAACTCGTTGTTGTAGTGCCTGTGAATATGAAATTAGTTAGTAAAAAATCTTTCTTAATTTCATCTAACACATGTCGAAATCTCGAAATCAATAACTTAAAGGGGCACTTAACATACGTATAGTTACAAAGTTTGTCCTCATTTTATATTGGTTAAATATAAAATATAAAATGTATCTTTCATTTTGTTAATCAATTAAGATACAACTATACATAGTTTTATAATTAGTCTAATTTCACGATATATGAGAAATTCATGAAAGGCTTACTTACACGTCGTCTAGTATCTTGGAAGCAATCATGACGCAAGTGACGAGGAGTCTATGAACATTCAAGGAGACAACCAAAGAACCAGGATGCCTATGAGCCAACCGGTCTATGTACACATACCCAACAACGAAACACGCCGGGCTACATTTTGTGTACTTGTATATCCTCTCAAGGTACTTTGCTATACTTATGCTTGGTGCTCTGACACCGTGAAATGCCTCCAAGCTCTTCCCGAATCCCGTAGTTTGCTTAGCTAACCACTCGTTTCGTGCCACGAGCTTCTCCATCACATGGGAGATTATAGTCAACACTCTTGGAGTGGCTGCTTCCGTTGGCGGCTCTGGTCCCACGACCGGGTCTAGTTCATCGTCTCCGGCTACGGTTAACATGGGTTATCTTCAATTCTCACGTTAATGGGCCATGTTGTACAGTTCGTTTTGGGTATAGATGGCTTGTAGATTGGGTGGTGGAGATACGATGAGCTTAAGATGTAACGTGGGGATGTTATCATGTTTGGTCTGACTTCCAGCTTATGAGATGGATTGACACGTGGCACCCTGCGAGAAGATAGGATTCCGATGACTTTTGTATTAAATTAGAATTAGTTATCAATATCTTTATTTATCAAACAAATAACTTTATTTCCACTTAATACTAGCATTATTGTTTTTTTTCCCTTTAATTACAAAAAGTTTCCGGGTCTTGGTCCATAATTTTCTCGTCCGGGACTAGTATAATTTCCTTTGAAAAGTCTCACAGTACAAAAATTTTACTACATATTCTTGATGTTATCTATATATCATTTTCTTTGCGTAAGGCATTTTTAAATAGTTAGGTTGGTGTGCAAAAAAAAAAAAAAGTTAGGTCTTTGAGGATTATTTCAAAAGATTACTAGTTCAAATTTTACAATGTTATCTTAATAACAAATTCTTTACCAAATAGATGACAATTTCTTTTAGGTTAGGAATCCCAAATTTTCAGGGCAGCCTGATCAAAAAGTTAGAAATGCTAACAACATATTTCTATTCAAGAGTCAACTGCAAAAAATATTTCCTATACGTCTAGAAGATTGATTTTCTAGTTATTTCACATATATCAAATTGTTTAGTTATTTGATAATTAATTATTTTTACTAAACATTTTTTAATAAATTATTAACTAATAATAATTTTCCTACCAAAAAAATGAACCAATAATAATTTAAAAGAATTAATTTTTTTCAATTATTACGTCTTGAAATCTAAGATTTATTAATATCCATTAAGTATCGACCCGAACCAACGAGTTTTAAGGTTTGCCACAGAGCACAAAATCTATGGAGCAAGAAAAAATCAGATAGTTTTGACGAGCGATATGAAATCACAATTACCTGCATGGCTTCATAATAAATCACGTACGTCACCTGCATGGCTTCATAATAAATCACGTACGTCAAGGCTCATAATAACGCCACGTGGTTTTTCACCGCGTGGACACACGCTTTCGTTAAGTATAAAAGAGCAACCCTACCTCTCTTTCTTCTACGTGATTCGCACACCACTGTAAAAGTGTAAAAACTCTTTTTTTGTTCTTCTTCACGTTTCATTCGATTTATAAAAATATTTTGTTCTTAGATTGTAATCTGTTTTCTTCGTAATCTTCCATCATTGGGTTTTGAGTTTCTCCACATTTTGCGAAAAAGTTTGTGAATCGGACTAATCGATCTCGGATCGATCTCGGTCGTTATAAGTGAGTGCTTCTTCCTCCGTATAGAAGCTTTAAAACACGTTACACATGCATGTGTTTCTATTCGAAACGTAAAATATTTCGACATTTTCTAGCAATTTAATGTGTTTTACCCAAAACCCTATCATGCATCTATATTTTACGATCTGAAATTCCAAAATCATAATTTTCCTTCAATGATTTGCATATGAAATCTTCGTGCATCTATTTTGTGCAGGATCATATCTTTACGTGTGTTTTACTTATCAAGAAACAACATAAACGTCAGACTCTTTAAATTTACAAATTTATCTTGTTCATCATGCATTGTCCAAGTATGGAGCCAAAGTGTGACCACTGTGCAACTTCACAAGCAGTGATTTACTGCAAATCCGATTTGGCTAAACTATGCCAAAACTGCGACTTCCACGTACACTCTGCGAATCCTCTATCTCATAGACACTCACGCTCTTTGATCTGCCAGAAATGCTTCTCACAGCCAGCCGTAATCCGCTGTCTCGGTGAGAAGGTTTCATATTGCCAAAGATGTCATTGGCACGCAAGCAACTGCTCGGATTTAGGACACAGAGTTCAGAGGTTGAACCCTTTCTCTGGTTGTCCTTCTCCAACAGATTTTGTCAAAATGTGGTCTTCAATTCTTGAACCTTCTGTCTCTAGTTTGGTTAGTCCGTTTGTTGGTTCTTTGCCCTTGAATGATCCCAATAATACCATGTTTGGAATGGCGAAAATCAACGAATTAGACGGTTTGATCGGTTCCCCTTATTCCATGGTGCCACACAGCTTCAATGTCACTCAGAATTTCAGTGATCAATTGTCTTTCTTTTCCGTGGAATCTAAGGTAATATATAGAGGAATTAAAAGTGTTGCTTAAGTTCTTGATGAACAATATGGTTCTTATTTGTGTGTGTATTTCCAGGGATATCCTGATTTGGTTCTTAAACTTGAAGAAGGCGAAGAAGATTTATGTGAAGGGCTTAACTTTGACAATGCGCCGTTAAACTTTGACGTTGGAGATGATATTATCGGATGTTCTTTAGAAGAACCCATAGAACCGGACCATACAGTACCAAATTGCCTACTGATCGACAAGAATAACACATCCGTTACCGCCTCAAACTTTACTATAGACAAGGCTTTTGAGGTCTCTTTCGCTTTTTGTTGTTGTTGTAGTTTCTAGTACCTCAAGAAAATTTTCTAATGAAAATTGTGTTATTTTGTTTTCAGGCATCGTCACCAGGACAACAAATGAACATCAACACTGGACTTCCGCTTCCTCTATCACCTGTCTTGTTCGGACAAATCCATCCATCGCTTAACATCTCCAACGTCACAGGTGAAAGCAATGCAGCTGATTACCAGGATTGTGGGATGCCTCCAGGGTTTATAACGAGTGAAGCACCATGGGAATCGAATCTTGAAGTTAGTTGTCCACAAGCAAGTACTCAAGCTAAATTGAGATACATGGAGAAGAAATTAAGCGCTCGTAAGTTTATTACTAATCATTACAAAACATAGTTTATATTAACTTGGATCAAGTTTAATATTGTGTTTTTTTTTTTTTTTGAATTATAGTTTTGGGAAACAGATTCGATATGCATCGCGCAAAGCAAGAGCTGACACGAGGAAAAGAGTGAAAGGAAGATTTGTGAAAGCTGGTGACAATTATGATTATGACCCATCATCACCGACGACAAACAATTGAAATTTACAAAAAATAATGTACAGTCTTCTTTCCCAAACCGACACAAATCATGCTTCATGATGATGATAAGGTTGGTAAAAACAGTTTCTTGTCGGAAAAGTAATGTAATCGTTTGTCTTATTTGTGTATAGTTTGTATGGATCGAATAAATCAACATGCTGAGGCATGGGAACGTTGGAGAAAACAAAGATGGTGGAAGCCAAAATGGTGAAAATATCGTAATTTTGCGCCTTTATATTTATCTTTGTTTTTGATATTTTATAAGTTGGGTTTTTTCCTTTTATACAAATAAATTTCTTAGCTGATTTTGATAAATAAAGTAGCAGTGAGCCAGTGATTACAATCTGCTTCATTCTCTGTATAAAGGTGGTACAGAGCACGCGTTTAGCATTGCATTAAGAAGATGTTTCACTTGTGAAAAGTCTAGTTATTAATTATTATAGCTCTTATGTACCTAATTAAGGAAAATGATAAGTCCAAAGAAGTAGTGAGAAACACAACAACAACAAAAAGAAACCAAATTGATGTCAGAAATAGAAACCCAAATAAATGTATAATAAAATTCCAAACAGACAGTCTATAATTCTATATGCCGCTCTAATTTAATCCGGCTTCAGCATTGAGTTTGGTGATTTTATTTTATTTTATTTTTTTTACAGCAATTTTTTATGGATTTTGTTTTATTCTTTTACAGGAAATTTCTTTTATGGATTTTAGTTGTGGTTACAATCACTGCATAATAGAAAAATTCAAAAAGATTCGAGGAATATACTCCACTCAATTACAAAGGATCCTTCTTTCTTTCCTTTCTATTGCAGATATTTTTTGCTATTTTAGTCAATACCCATTTTTTAAAATTCTAAGCTTCATAAAATTAAATTTCCCAGATTTTTCTTAATAGAAAACTGCATAAAAACCCTAGGCATATTTATATCTTACACCAAAAAAAAACTAAAAATCAGAGAAATACAAACGGAACCTCATGATTATCTTGTTCACTTCTACTCTCCACGGTGGCTTCTCCCACCGTCGTCACCGACGGTAAAACAACGTGGAAGTCATGATCTCCGACGAGGCACCGGCGCGTGAGTTTCTGACAAGAAGTGCATAGCACGCGCCTTACGTGTCTCCAAGCTAGAAAATTCGCTCCATGAACCCACCGGTCACATTTTCTACAGAGAAACGCCGAGTCAGCCTCACAGAACACGGAGGCATCGCCGCCACAAAGCTCACACCTAACCGGAACACTCGGTCTCGTGCAAAGACTCCGGCAACCATCACCGTGGCTTCTTCTGCTCTCTTCTTCATTAAAGATCAAGCCTCTACACATTTTTCTAAATCTTTCTCTCTCTCTTGTTCTTGTGGGTGATATTGAGGAAAGAAGATTTGTTATAGGAAAAACGTTATACATTTATATAGGAAATAGGAATCTTGTTTCTTTAAAACTAAATGGAGATTTTTCTTTTTTGTCATAAAATAATGATGTGTGTTGTTTTGTTGTTGTACACGTGGATGAATCATGCCCTGTTATTTTGACGTAAATGCCCTTATGATGGCAAAATCGTTAATTTCAAAATTAAAAACGTTTCTCCTCCAAGCGATCTCTTGTCCTCATATTGGACGCACAACTTTCAAGTTTTCGAAACAAACTCCTAGTACTAGCACGACTTCTTTTGGTTTATATCACCCACCACATCAAATATGAATCATTATTGACTGTTGTGGTTTTATTTTTTTGGGGATGATATGATGTTAAATTGTTAATTGTATTCTATTGTAATGTGATTACGATGTACGATAAAAAACCAAACTATTAAGAGTTTAAGATTCAAACAGATGCACCTAAAGGTACAAAAGTTAACTAATACAATCGATTTCCCATAAACATATATGAAAGATTGCGAGTTTAGTTATATGATAATAAATTTACATGATAGTTAAGTTTCTAGAATTAAACCAAAAATGATTTTAGAAATAATAAAATGGTACATAATTACATATTATCTCATATGTTTCTTATGTGAGATACATACGAACAACGTCCGACATCGGAAAATTATTAGAATAATAACAGTCTAATATATAATAAATCAATTTCTATTTCAATTATTATGAGATTTTTTGGGAAGAAACCTAAAAATAATCGGTGCGTATATTGTGTGTTTATGTTGCGCATGATTTTTACGTGTGTTTTACTTATCAAAAAACAACATAAACGTCAGATTCTTTTCTATATATACACTTTTTTTAAAATTTACAAATTTATCTTGTTCATTATGTTTTCAAGTATGGAGCCAAAGTGTAACTACTATGCAATTTCACAAACAGTGATTTACTGCAAATCCGATTTGGCTAAACTATGCCAAAACTGCGACTTCCACGTATACTATGCGAATCCTCTATCTCACAGGTACACATGCTCTTTGATCTGCCAGAAATGCTTTTCACAACCAGCCGCAATCCGCTGCATCATGCGTATTTAGTTATTG